CAGCTCGGAATCTTCAGCCATGATAAAGTCATGCATCCTTGTCTTCCACCACCCATAATATTGGCCATTGAACCTGGGTTGTTTGTAGGTAGACTGACCCTCTCCGAAGTTTGGTGGAGCAGCCATGAGGATTCTTTCTAGGTATTAACCTGATAGAAAGAACCCGCGCTGATACCAATTGATAGAATATATGAGTCCACCAAACTATATAGAGACCAGGTCTTATACAGGTTTCCACAAATAAGGCTAATGCAACAGTAAGTAAATGGAACAAGGAACTTTTACGTGGGAAAATCCATGCTCAAGGGGATTAAAAAATCACGACCTACACTAGTAGGATTTCAACTTCACTGTGAGCAATGATTAGATTACAACCTATGCAACCTAGGAATTAAACTCTTAATCCCTCCCTAACTTGTAATGCACCTATTACAAGCCGCTTTGCAATACACCTATTACAAAGACTTCAACTCATGACTAACTCTAGTCATGACACAAACACTAAAGGTTTATGGTTTACAAAGGGTTCCTAATTAAAGTTTCTAGATAAGAAAGGAATTACAATAAAGAATAATTACAAAGATACAACTCAACTAAGGACATACAAGAGACTTGTTGTAGGAACTGGTCCGTAGTGGTGTTGTACTTTGTTCTTGATGCACTTGAGAATTGAATGGTTGATTGTCAAATGCTTAGAATGCTTGAATGAATTCTCAAGTGTTCAAGTGATGTTTTGTTGTAATGTTTATTGTTAATACAACTTGGATGACATCACTTAAATGATATAATCACTTGGTTGGTACAAGGTCCTTCCAAATGAGAAGTGACTGTTGCATTGTGCTGCACTGTTTGCATGTTCAGTGCAGGCAGCCACTTTCCAGCTGTAGAGAGTTGACTTCGTACTGTTGTTAGAGGAACCCAAAGGGATCAGGTCCCTGTGTTGATTCTTTATCTTCTGAAGTCATAGCAACTCACATTAGCTTGAGTCCGTTGATTGAGTTGTGTACCAAGTGTATCAGGTTCCTTATCTGGTTCCTTGACAGTAAGTTTGTTAGATTATCAAAACATGAAGCTAAGGTACTATAAACCCATCAACAACGCTTCATGATCTGTTGTTTCTAAGTTGCTCAAAGTGCCACCATTCCAAATCCCTACAAGCTGCTCTCCAACCATCAAATTATTAGTTACAACATTATGATTTTCACCACTTAACATTTATTTCTTTCTTTACTTGCATGCTTGATACAACAAGGATTTGCTAATCAATTTTTTCTGGGTTACTAGTGGTTATTGAGAGTAGCAATCAAGGTCGTAATAGAACATACCTGTACTTTCCTTTTGAGCGAACAACTGAGAATTTCTTGGTTCATTATTTTCGATTTCAAAATTTGACAATTCATTTTATTCTCTTCCCATCCTTTCACTTTCTTGTCAACGATCCAATAGACCAAATAATGGAGGAAAGATTAATAGAATTTTCAAAATGGTTATCTCAATGGGAAAGGACTGCGCTTGGGAAATAAAATGAAGTACCAGACTATGTGGTTTTAGTATATTAAGAATGAAAATATAAACCACTCATAAATATTTCACTTGAATTTCTTTTGTGGTTTAACTGGTATATTAAATTAAACATAATTTACTAACAACTATATTGCCTCCGGCACCTGTACTTGTTAAAAATCTCTAGAAGATTAAGTATCACCCTCTTAGGTGTCCTTATTTAAAGTTTATTTTGATTTGAAACATAATTCGCCGAATTAGGTTGTAATCTAACCCCCTAAGCATTTCAGTAAAATAGGATGCCTTGATATCCACATAATGTATGACAATATACTCCAGGAAATAAATTAATTGTTGACATATGTATTGGACTATTGGTGTTATCTAATGTTTGAAAATGGTGTTCAATGTTGATCATGAATTTTATTAATTTTTAGTGGATATCTATTTGGGGCTTGATAAAAAAGAGGATTCAAGTGGTTTTCACTTTTCACTTACCTTTTTGTAGAGTAATATTTAATTTATGTAGATTGTACTTCAGTGATTAATCTCTCTATTGTTGGATGTATGAACCGTAATTGAGTGAAAATTAAAGATTGTTCGAATTTGCGGAAGTAGCTGTTCAAGGATTTAATGCTCTCGTTATTCTTACAAGTCTTCTTCCAAATTGAATTTTAGTTATTCTAAAATTATAGATCTATCATATGAACCAGTATATATTATGGTTTGTACAGTGATCCTTTGAGTTACTATAATATGTTCAGTTTAACTCTCACTCTTCAACTCCATGCTCAAAATTTGTGTATTTTTTGGGCGCATGGTCCTTTTGTAAATTGAGTTTTCGTGAAGAATTGAATAGATTGAGATATGATCATTGCTATTATATTTGGTTTCTAAAATTTTTGGGGCATTTGTATATATACCCTTTTTTGGGGCCACCATTGGATTTATACCCGCATTGCACAAAACTTTGCAAAGTGTACCCGCTCGAATCTGAAGTAGTTACAAACTGCTTGGGCCTAAGCTCCTGAACCGGCAGGAAGAAGAAGCGCACCCGAACCCCTCACTTCAGTGCAACTTCCAAATCAAATCTGAAGTTCTTCTATCTTTCAATTGCAACTTCAGAAATTCAAATCTTAAGTAGTTCGATTTTTCAGTACAACTTCAGACAACTTCATATTCAAGTTCATCTATCTTTCAATTGCAACTTCAGAAATTCGAATCTTAAGTAGTTCAATTTTTCAGTACAACTTCAGACAGCTTCAAATGCAAAATCTGAAATCTTAAGTAGTTCAATTTTTCAATACAACTTCAGACAACTTCAGATCCAAAATCATATTCAAAATCTGAATTCTGAAACATAAATTTGTTCTTCGAATTTCAACAATCCAACACACGATTCAACACCCAAATATACTCCAAATGAGCTCAAGTTTGACACGTAACTTTCAAATATCATAAAGAACAAATCATATAACAACAAATTGCTAAAATAACAACAAACTTGACAAACTCATTTTGCAATTAAGAAGAAGAAGAAGAAACCCTAAACACAAAGAAGAAGAAACAACAGTGAAGAAGAAGAGAAAATTGTATGTATAAGATGTTATTAAAAAATTGGGTACCCATTAAACATTGTTTAAAAAGTAAGTACAGATTCAATCGGTGGCACAAAACTGGGCACCACATAAAAATTTTATAAAAATTTTGAAGAAGACAATAGCGACCCTTAGTAATTATGTGGAGACGACATTTGAAAGGTGGAGATGAATATACACCAGGAATATCTTATATAAAGAAGTATTAGGTTAGATACACTTTATTACTTGTTTGTACCTCATAAAATTAAAATATGTATAAAAAATTTCATGTATTGATTGCTCATCTTCATAGGTTCAACTGATATCTAATATCTTTACCTCAACAAGCAAGTCGGATGAAAGACGAATTTGCTTGCTATTTAAATTTTGGTGGAAAGAAATAGAGCGAGTAAAGAATTTTTAACATTATAAAGTCAACCAAATGATATTTACGAGAACTCTCCTTAAAATGTGAGATTTATTTATCCTTTTTACTACTGCTAGTCTAGTAGTAGTACTCATTATGTCTACTTTTTCTTCTGAATACAGGGTACTTGGTTGCCTAACACTCTGCCCATACAATATCGTCGATCTAATAACGATATTGTAGAACTTACCTTTAATGCTTGGTGGCAGATTCTTATCACACAAGATACCATATGCAAGCCTCCATTTCATCCAACCCCTCTCCGATACGATGAGTGACATCCTCGTTAATCTCCACATTATCTTGGATGATAGAACCAAGATACTTGAAGCTTGCTCTTTTGGGGATGACTTGTGTGTCAAGCCTCACTCCACATCTACCTCGTGAGTCACGTCGCTAAACTTGCACTCCAAGTATTCTATTTTAATCCTGGCCAACTTGAAACTTTTAGACTCTAGAGACTGTCTCCAAACTCCTAGCCTCGCGTTAACTCCACATCACATCTCGACAATCAGTACTATGTCATCTGCAAATAAAGACATCATGGCACCTCACCTTAGACGTGTCGCGTCAATACATCCATCACCAAGATGAATAAAAACAGGCTAAGAGTTGATCCCTAGTGCAATCCCATCTTGACAGGAAAATGTCCCGAGTCCCCTCCCACTATGTTACGCGGGTCTTGGCTCCATTATACATGTCCTTGATCGCCTTAATGTATGTGTACCCCTATGTCCTCCAAACGTCTCCATGAAATCGCCCTTGAAACTTTGTCGTATGCTTTTTCCACGTAAATGAACACCATATGTAAGACCCTCTTTCTTTCCCTATATTGTTCCACCAATCTATTTACAATATGAATGGCTTAACTAGTTCATTGCCCCAACATGAATCTAAACTGATTCTCGACAATCGACACACCCCTCTTAACCCTCATCTCCACCACTCTCTTCCAGACTTGCATAGTGTAACTTAGCAGCTTGATGCTCCTATATTTGATGCTTTGAATATCCCCTTGTTCTTGTATAACAGAATCATAATTCTCCACCTACACTAGTTTAGACTCAAACATTTGTCTTTTTTGTTGACAAAAGTAGGAGAGGGATTTCAATGTTTGAGACTTGGAAATTTTGCAAGAATAAACCAAAAGAAAAAAGAGATAAAAAAGCACTTAATTAAAACGCAAGAGGAGACACCACATATGCCCATCTCTCATAGGTGGATCTAATTCTAGAAAAAGAAAGGAAAGGGCAACAAGATTAACATGGGATTTGAACTCCTGGCCTTACGAGTAGAGGTGCACGCAGTAATCATTATACCATAGAATTTTTTGATCTTGAGTGCACATATATTTTATGTAGTTTTAAAGAGATAGCATTACTATAATAATTTAGGAAGGGGAGTACGAGTGCACGTGAATCCCACTCCCTTCCACCTGTATCCGCCCCTATATGGAAGGGACAAGCAAATGTGCAGATTTGAAGGTCACAGACAGAAGAAAAATATATAGTTTACAGAAAATATGTACATACAAGCACTATAGCAAGTTAGCTCCCTTTCTTACAAGCAAATAGAAGCTGAGCACGGGATTTCTTAAAGTTTACAAAAATATATACATACGAGCACTATAACAAGTATTATCTATAGAGTAACAGTACTTTCCATCTTGGGGTAATCCAGGGATCCTGATTCAATTAGCAACCGACCATATTCGCGCTGGGCTTCCTTCAGTTCCTTCCTTAGCAAAGTTACCTACATAGGTTGCATAAACAATACATGGTTCTCAAGATCTTTCATAATATACTAGAGCAAAAACTTGAAACTAGATGCCACCGTTCAACTGGAACATCAAGACACAACAGCTAAAGCAAACTCTATTAGGATTACCTTAGCATTAAGTTCCTCATCCATCTTCTCATATTCAGAGCATCTGAAGGACAGAAAAAGCACATGAAAGGGAACTTTAGAAAATTGAGCATCTGAAAAGACTAGTATGTTACAAGTAACAACTCCACGATGTTTACGAGAAGGGAGAATGCAAAACTGCTGGTTATCATGAACATAACGTTTACAAGGAATAAGGCAAAGTGCTGGCAATCATGAGCTAAGTATATTTATATTTCTGAATTGTACTTCCCCAAAAGTACGGGTGCAATTGGAATTTGGAATTTATCATACTACTTCCATTCTATTTATCTAACATTGTTCCTTTTTGTTCTGTTCCAAAAATATTGACACCTTTTTATATTTGTTAACTCTTTTATTTTAAAATTCTCATTTTCTCTTAATGACATGCTCTTCTAGGGATGAAATAACAAGTAGAAGATCACATGATCCTAAGGTAGTTTTAGTATGTTATTTATGTTGTGTCAAAAGTTTTTCATTCTTCCTTAAACTCAGCGTCCAAGCAAATACCGTCATGGTGGGAATAATTAGGATTAAAAAAAAAAGTCAAGTGACTCATTTTGAACTTACCGTGCGTAGAGCCTTTTGTTCTCTTTAAGGAGGAGGACAATCTCTTGATCTTCCAAGTGACTTGTGGTAGTGGTGGCAGGCTATGTTCAGTTAAACATAAAGAAGAGATTAAAACAAAAGCAGAGAATGACCTCATATGCATGGACAAAATGGAAACAAATAATGCTAAGTTTCACAGTCAATTATTGAAGTCAAAATAAGTGGAGGAAAGTTCGTAGACACAAACCAGATTTTGAATGGACTCGGGACCAGTTAGATTGACCTTTAATCCCGCCTTTCGTTTGAGAATTTCAGGTTCTATTGAATGATCATGGTCTTTCCTTTTCGTGGTTGCTGTAAATCACAAAAGATTGTATGAGAGGTACTAATGACAAAAGGTGCTTACGGGTAGTATGGGAATGTATAGCGCAAACTCATCGGTTATTAAAGGCCAAGTGTAAGACCTATTCTTAAAGCAAATAGAGGTGAAATGAAAGTTGAACAACCTCGAGGGATCAAAGAGAAATTTATGCATTAATACAGTATGTCCAGTGGATAAAAGTATATGAAAATGCAATCTGCAAACACATGCAAGACGGGAGCCAGCAACAAGTTCCCAAACAATACATCTAATATGAATTATGATACATTCTTCTATATCTCCGTGTCCTCCTAATTTGATCAAATACTAAATAATGTCTGATGGGATATATTACAATACTACTGTTTTTAAGCCATCATTCAGAAGTTAGACACCATTAATTTCAACTTGCAGATCTTCCTATTGTGGATGTATTTGGTATATCTATTATGTGCCAGGAGCACTAAAAATTAGAGAAGATTAGGGCACAATAAACAATATTTTCAAACTGTATCACGTGTTAGCTGTGCTTTTGTTTGATACGATGTTTGCAAGTTAAGAGATTCAACTCCAGTGGCAAGTTACTGACAAGAAGACATATCCAGGTACAGACTATCATATCACATTCTTTGATGATTCCACCTACTTCTGTTCGTTTCACAAATTGCTACAAAATCCTCCTTGAAATGAGGAATCATCCAAACCCCACCGAAATAAGCACATAATGACAACAGACTATTTGTTTTTGGTGCATCAACATCTTGTGTGTTATTTGGGAAGGAAGGTTTCCCAGTACAGAAAACTTTGGCACCAGTAACAGCAGAGGACATTTTGCTCAACGGAATGGGGTGATACGTACCATGTTTCTGTCTAGATTCTGATGAAACCTGAGAAGGTTTATGAAGCCTTTTAGTTGCATGATAACCAATTAGTCCACAGTGATAATCCCTGTCAAAATCATATCATAAATACATAAAATCAATCAATCAACAAATAAACATTCAATTAAGAAGAATCACACAAAGAACAAGCAAAAAGGGCATCCAGAATGATAAACAATAGCAATCAATTTGGGAAGCTAAATAGACAGTTCTCATTTCCTTGCTTAAGACAGAAATACATGCATAGAATGTAAAATGGCCGTCCAAGACAGTTGGGATTCAGCTCATTTTCTAAACAGCAGTTTATTGGTGTACAATCCATGTGGAGAAGTTAGATAAACTAGTTGCCCAGGAATAGGAGCGCTACAACTCAGTGCTAAATAGCAGTTTGTAGGCGTAGAGTTCTTCAAGTAATAGCCTACCAGTACTCCCATGTCATCTCCTTTAATCGGTTCTCGAGCTTTTGAAAGAGGGGTGTTTTCTCGAAGTCCTGTTTATTATGAGTTGGCTGAATAAAGTTTGCTTCTAGAACACCTAAAAAGGCAGGAAAATTAGTTAGAGCCTTCTCCAGCTAGTAGTGGACCAAAAGAATAAAGCACCACAAGTAGAGAAGAAATGCTTCATGGGCTCCTTACCTACAACCCCTCTGCTTCTAGCGGTAGAAGAGCCTGCCACATTCCAAAATGGCTGCAAAGAAACGAATGGAAATTTTTTAAGACAAGACATAGGCTCTAGATATCATTTACAGTAAAATCTGTTATTGCAGAAGATAATTAAGCAAAAGGATATAAACACAGTGCAAAAAAGTGTATATTTGCCCGAAGACCAGGTTAAATGCAGAATATAAATTTAGCATCAGTTCATAAAGATAAGACTTCAGAAACGGAGGAGAAAAGAGATGGAAGGAAAAATTGAGAAGGCTTACAAAAGGTATGTTTAAGGGAAGCTAAGGTATATGGAGGAATACATAACTAAAAGCGTAATGGAACTAATACTGAAACATTGTTTCAGACCCACAGCGAACAGTTTCCCATTAGAAATCCTTTTCCCTCTATCCTCCATATCAATTAGGTTCAAATTACGAAACTATCTCATCTCATCCATTTTCCTTCTCTTCCTTTTTTTCTTTTTCTTTTTCATCAAATTATTTGGGTCCTAATAGACTCTGAAGGTATGGATATCTGGTTTATCACTATGCAAAACAATTTTGTAGTAAGACAGGTGGAATATTTACTATTTTATCGTTTTATGCATATCAATTTCAGTCATTATTAGGTCCTAGAGTATACCTCAAAAGCTATGTGTCTTTTAAAAGCGCGAAGTGGCTTCTGGAGAAGTGGGGAAATTTCTGAAGGTGCTAGATGAGTCAAAGTACCATTTACAAAATCAAAACATTGGATAGAGCAACTCACCAGTATCAAACGATTCCTGTGGTAGACATTGAAACCATGAATATTCACCAGTGGAGCTTCCTTTAGGAAGCCAATGGAAGTAATGACGGAACCCTGCAAAGAATAAAGAAAAATAACAGTTAGGAATCTTAAAGAGGAAGAAGGGGGAAGCTGCTGAGTGTTATTAGAAAAATCTGAAGCTTTATAGCAAAAAACTGCACTATGCAGCTCTCTAAAAATACCATTTCTAATACCTTATTACTACATCCTCCATTTAGTAAGTTTGACTCAACTTACCCTTTTTATCCTTTATATGAAGGGAAAAGTTTTATTAATGTTTTAACTCAAAGTACCCCCTTTACACAGATTTTTACATTTTTTTCCAGAAATTATAGAATGTGCGAGTGTGTCCATATATTATGCTTAATAATCGGTCTCTTATTAATCATAAGCAGATTGTATGGGCCCCACGATAATTAACGAAGAACTGTATGGGTCAGAATCCGACCCCACGACAATTAACGAAGGTAATCCCGTCTTAAGCTAATTCATGATTGATTAGTGGTATGACCACTCAGAATTAACGGTATCCAACCCTTATCTGATTCGATCAACAAGGCCACGGCCCGTCCGTCATCATGAAGGCGAAATCCCAACGTGGTCACAGCCACTTATTGCCAGCTCACGAAGCTCACAGCTGTAAATACCAAGAGAGGAAACCCTAGAAGGGGGGCTGCTTCTCGGTCACTATCCGGGAGAGAGAAAAAAAAACACAATGATACCCATATTGTGAGAGAGAAAAATACCATTGTAAGGCTCTGAACCTCTTCATGGAGAGGCAGGCCAAATACATTATCAATAAAGAATCTTAATGTTTCTCCTCCTAACTCTGAGTACTTATTTTCGTTTCCTTCATTTGGTCCAACGGATTATTACGGTTTACTATGATTTTTCCGTGATTTATTTATATTGTTTTATACTCATAAGGTATGTGATAACTTTTGAGCAAACGATTTGGCGCCGTCTGTGGGGATTTCTTAGCAAAACCACGTAGTTCTTCCCTGGACCAAAAAGGAAGAAACGCCAGAAAAGGAAAACAAAAGCAACCCAGCTCAAACAAGCCAAAGCGGCATGTCGGACAAGGGGAACTCGAAGATCTCGAATCAAGATCCAAGTCCTCTCTCTCTGATCTTGGATAGTGCAAAAAAGAAGAAGAAGCCCCTCCTAAGGGAGAATCTCTGTAAGGCATCTACCGCATCCCTGATACGAGCTCCGGCCAGAAACCGGCACGGAGATATCTCGAGCCAAGAGTCTCCTCAAGACAGCCTATATACTCCGATTGGGAAGACAACACATAAGCTGCTCAAGGTCTCGGATCAAAACCGAGCTTCGGCACTCAATACCCACAACTAAGACCAGGCTATGCGCCTTCGCCATCAAAATTGACAACAACAGTTGAACTGGGACTCAGGCTATGCGCCTTCGCCATCAAAATTGATAAAGTTCAACAACAGTTGAACTGGAACTCAGGCTATGCGCCTTCGCCATCAAAAGTCAAGGCTATGCGCCTTCGCCAATAAGTTCAAATACGGTTGAACCATGACTCAGGCTACGCGCCTTCGCCATCAAAATTGACAAAGTTCGACAACAGGTGAACTGGGACTCAGGCCATGAGCCTTCGCCATCAAAATTGACAGTTCGACAACAGTTGAACTGGGACTCAGGCTACCCGCCTTCGCCATCAAAATTGACAAAGTTCAACAACAGGTGAACTGGGACTCAGGCTATGCGCCTTCGCCATTAAATCAAGGCTATGCGCCTTCGCCAAGAAGTTCAAATACAGTTGAACCATGATTCAGGCTATACGCCTTCGCCATCAAAATTGACAAAGTTCAACAACAGTTGAACTGGGACTCAGGCTAGATGCATTCGCCATTAAATCAAGGCTATGCGCCTTCGCCAATAAGTTCAAATACGGTTGAACCATGACTCAGGCTATGCGCCTTCGTCATCAAAATTGACAAAGTTCAACAACAGTTGAACTAGGACTCAGGCCATGAGCCTTCGCCATCAAAATCGACTAAGTTCAACAACAGTTGAACTGGGACTCAGGCCATGAGCCTTCGCCATCAAAATCAACTAAGCGCCTTCGCCAATAAGTTCAAATACGGTTGAACCATGACTCAGGCTATGCGCCTTCGTCATCAAAATTGACAAAGTTCAACAACAGTTGAACTAGGACTCAGGCCATGAGCCTTCGCCATCAAAATCGACTAAGTTCAACAACAGTTGAACTGGGACTCAGGCTATGCGCCTTCGCCATTAAATCAAGCCTATGCGCCTTCGCCAAAAAGTTCAAATACAGTCGAACCATGACTCAGGCTATGCGTCTTCGCCAAGAAGTTCAAGTACAGTTGAACCAAGACTCAGGCTACGCGTCTTCGCCATAAAATCAAGCCCATGCGCCTTCGCCAGTAAGTTTAGCTACGGTCGAACCAAGACTCAGGCCACGCGCCTTCGCCATCAAATCCAACAAGTTCGACCTCACTTGAACCATAAGGCTAGACGCCTTCGTCCTCAAATCTAACAAGTTCAACCACAGTTGAACCAGGACTCGGACCAAGCGCCTTCATCATTGAACTCAGCGAAACCCAACCTCCAACGAATCGAGGCGCAGGTTAGGCACCCTCGCCCTTCAAGTAAGTACTCCCAACTCAAACTAAGATTGGGACACGTAAAGTTCGGCCCCGGTCAAACTACAAGGCCTCGTTTCTGTCATCACGGCCGACAGTTCGACCGCGCCCGAACTGGGACTAAGGCTAAGTGCCGCTATCGCCAAACTACAAGGCCGCGTTTCTGTCATCACGGCTGACAGTTCGACCGTGCCCGAACTGGGACTAAGGCTAAGTGCCGCTATCGCCAAGCAACGGCTCCGACTCGCTCACCCCGAGTCGAAGAAGAAGAGTCGTCAACAATTAAAAACTAACATGCCTACCAGAGTCGAACTCGAAGGCAAATCACCCCTTGAGTGCATGCAAAGAAAAATCTAAGGGGGAAAAAGAGGAGGTACAAAACAGATACAAGGCAAATAACGGAACAGAGATCTCATTTATCCACGAAATTAATTGCGGGTCATCCCCGCTTACAACCGGCCAAGGCCGATCAATACAAGGAAAGAAAAAAAGAAAAAAAAAACAAGAAACACCTAAACGCCAAACGGCGAACAAGACAAGAAAAAATGCATAACATCTTTTTACTCGGCGCCATTCGCGCCACCATCTACACCAGCGTCAGCCTCTGGCGTCTCCGCGTCAAAACCACAGTCGGTACGGGCCTCACGAGCCTTTTGACGCGCTCCCTCGAAAGCAGCTTCGGTCACGATGCCGGCCTCCCACAAATTCTTATATACATCACGTTGGGCCTCGGCAAAGACCCAAAGTTCGCGAGCCTGGCTAGAAGAAGCGGCTTGGTCCCGTAGGCGCTAATTCTCTTCTTCTAAGGCTGTGATCCGGTCCGCCATGACTTGGGCGTCCTGCTCAAAGGCACCGATCCGCTCCTCGAGACTCGCTTCTCTAAAGGCCGCAGTAGCCCTCTCCAACGCCCGTTGGGACTCGTGGCACGCGGATAGCTTCCGTCAACGCCCCTGCCCTCGACGAGGCATCCCTCACCTGAAGCTTCAATACCGCGACTTCACCCTCCAACGCAGTCACTTTCCCGCCCCATGCCGCAACGGCCTCCGCCGCCTTAGCCTGGCCCTGGCGCTCACACTCAGCTGCGGCCCTCTTTACCGCCTCGAGCTCCTCATCCTTCCGGCGGAGCTGCTCCTCGAGAGCACTCGTTCTGCCAAGTGTTTGCTGCATCTGAAGCTCCCGCCTCGCCAGTTCCTCGACCAAGGCCCGGCTACAGGGATCATTCCTCAAGGGCACGCGCAACTCTCGGCACTGATCTCGGTAGCGGCGATACTTCTCCAGCGCCCGCAAAAATATCCCCGAGCGGACTTTGGCTCGACGGATACTCTCCACCTCCAACAAATAAGACTGCAAAGCAAAGACAACGATTAAGATAAAAAAGAAACTAAGGCAAAGAAGAAGCGAACCGACGTAATAGTACATACCCTCAAGCCCATCACGGCCACTTCATTCATCAGTCCGATATCCGTAACGCCCCTCAACGACGCATTCTCGGCCTCCGAGCATAGCAGCTCGAACTGCGGCACCAAGCTTTCCCCTTGGAGCAATAAGTTCAACTCCGTGGGAACCTCGATGAAGCAAGATCGCCCCTCTGTGCGCACCACTGAATTGGTGAAGCCTTCCCGGAACATACAGACGTCGTCAGGGTCCAAGTCGGATTCGAACTCGTACTCATCTTCTATAGCATCCCTTCCTCCTTCGGCCACCAGCGAGGTAGAACCACCCGCTGTAGCCACCGAAGGAGCGCTTGCCTCACCAACATTAGCAGCCACTGAGGAACTACCTCCCGTCTCAGCGACTGGAACCAACAATTGAATCGCCGAAGCGACGGCATCATCATGGCATAAGCCAACCGGGGCAACCCCCATTGCGTGTCCACTCTCAGGTTCAGGCGTCGCAGCCACACTCCGCTCCGCATCCGCCGGGGGGGAGTCCAAATTAATTACCGCAGGAGGAGCCGGCGTGAACACGACCCTACGCCTTATCAATGGCCTCTCCTCCTCCCCATCTGATGGCGAATCCGCTCTAGGGCGCACAACCCCCGATGGCCCCTTGTCCCGAAGTGCGGCCCGTGCTGGAGAAGGAACCGCTGAAGATTCAACTGATGCCGCCCACGGTATTGGGCGCGACACCGGCGCCGCAGTAAGTCGAGCAATTGCACCCGGCCTACGGAAGGCCAACTGAGGGGCCCTGACGCGGCGTGCCCTCCTTGATCACAGAAAAACAAAGTTGATGAATAGAGTTGAAACAAAGCGGAACAGAAGAAGAAATCAATTTTTTACCTGTCGCAGGCCTACGGCCATGCTTCTCCCAGAAAGACACCCATGTGCGTATCCCCACCGTATGGGGGAGCACGGCCTCGACCCACCCGCGAATCCCAACCAACGGAGCCGACGGCGATTTTTCGGCTACAAAATTGACACGAGTTAACGCTTACGAGCACAAGACGTAAGGAGGGGAAAAAAAGGGGATTCGACGATTAAAGAACTTACGTGCATGATTCCAAGCCTCTGGGAACCCAGTAGAGCACGCCACTAAATGTTCAGTCCTGATGTAGAAGAAGTGCTCAAAAGGGCGAGGGTCGACCTCGTCATCCAGTTTTGCAGTCAGGCCCCTCGACCCACGAGGGCACGCTTGAATCATGGTACCGCGAACTCTCTGGGGAGCGTAGAGACTAAGCACATGCTGCAGCGTGACCTCCCTACCGGCCAGTTCTGCATATTTGATAAACATTGCTAGCAATTTGTAAAGAGAAGGAGCAAGCTGACCCGGGCACACCCCGTAATAACGACAGAAATCAACCACCAGCATTGGGAGCGGGAGCTTAAACCCCAACTTGAAGGGATAGGCGTAAAAAACGCAGTATCCCCTGCGGTCGGTGTGGACCCTCTCCTCGCTTCTAGCAAGAACGACGTCAGCATAGCTGGGGATGACCCCCTGTTTCCGTAATTGGGCCATCCCAATCTCCCCCATTAATGGGGCTTCATCCACCTGATCCTCCCCGCCATCGGCAGTGAAATCAGTCGGCAGGCCCCCGGGCAGAGATACTATCTCGTCAACCGATGGAACTTCATCAGTCTCCACCAGTTCTGCACCGCCCATTGCCAGAGATGGCCCTTCAGTCACCAGAGAGTTAACCGGAAGATCCGTCGGAAGAACGTTTTGGGAAGAACTGCCTGCCATTGTTGAGTCAATAATGAGAATGAAACAAAGTTTGAGGGACGAAGACGAAAGTTATATAAATCGAAGAACAAAGATGAAGGTGAATTAGCAGGAAGAAAAGCTTCTTCAGAATCTCTCTCTGGCAAACAATGAGAATATAAAAATGTATGGGTCAGCCCTTATTTATAAGCAACACAAGTGGCTTTCACAAGCCCCAATAGCCTTCATTAACTACATGACCAACCGCAAACCGATTCGGTTCTGCAGAAACACGCATCGTTATGACAGGCTCCATGAAGCGGCTCTTCAGTCGCCAACCGGCGTCTCACCTGCGAAACGGTTGCAACAACCCATGAACGCCGAGAGGATATTCCGTGCGCCTTCAGAACGATGGACGTCGCCAAACACGTATCCAGTGTACCCCTACTCCCTTCGGCTGCACAACATATGACCCGTCCACCATGGTCGACGGTTACGCTCCCAAACAAACGTAAGGATCAGAGCACCACAAAGCTCGACCTTACTCGAATTAAGTTAAAGGGTGAAGCGCCCTCGCCAAGGAGGAGAGTTCGACCTTGATCGAACGACGACTTGATAGCACAATAACAAAACACTGACACTCTACAAGGCTAAGGGCCATCGCCAAAGAGAATTCGGCCTCGACCAAAGCGATAGTCGACCTCCCTATCCGAGTTTCTCAAACTACAGTCGATAAAATCCACTCATCGAGCTCGGCCAAGGCACGACCTCAATAAGCGGAGGGACTAACTGTATGGGTCAGAATCCGACCCCACGATAATTAACGAAGGTAATCCCGTCTTAAGCTAATTCATGATTGATTAGTGGTATGACCAATCAGAATTAACGGTATCCAACCCTTATCTGATTCGATCAACAAGGCCACGGCCCGTCCGTCATCATGAAGGCGAAATCCCAACGTGGTCACGGCCACTTATTGCCAGCTCACGAAGCTCACAGCTATAAATACCAAGAGAGGAAACCCTAGAAGGGGGGCTGCTTCTCGGTCACTATCCGGGAGAGAGAAAAAAAAACACAATAATACCCATATTGTGAGAGAGAAAAACACCATTGTAAGGCTCTGAACCTCTTCATGGAGAGGCAGGCCAAATCGACATTATCAATAAAGATTCTTAATGTTTCTCCTCCTAACTCTGAGTACTTATTTTCGTTTCCTTCATTTGGTCCAACGGATTATTACGGTTTGCTATGATTTTCCCGTGATTTATTTATATTGTTTTATACTCATAAGGTATATGATAACTTTTGAGCAAACACAGATCAAAAAGAAGAAATGGGCTTATACTGATATACTATTCTGACAAATAAAATAGAGGAGAAGAGCAGACTCTGATCAATGTTATCAATGATATGCTTTACAGTACGTCTGAGAAAGAGAGAAACTAGTGGAAACCTCTTTGCATCCACCATTTTGAGGTTTGTACACGATAAATTCTGGATACTTGAGATCTCTAGCAATGTTATGATACTCTACTATGCGTCCGCGCAACCATATGCAAAAGTTTTCAGGGATTTTCAAATACAGGATAGATAGATATGCCTGTTTAGAAGAAGAATACAACATAGTTAGAAATCAGGGATCTCCTTGAATGAAGAAACTTCAAGTGCATCTTGTTCATTAAAGAACTTACTCGGAGTGAATACTGAAGAGTGTTGGCAAGATGCAGGTCACTTACTGACGTGCTGGAGCAACTTTTACCACTTTCTGCATCACAAGAGATACGAATATCCTGCAATTATTGTAGTAGAAGTAGTCATATTATGGTAAATAACAGTGCAAGAGATTGATGGGAAAATTAAATCAGATAAAGAAATCAAACCTCAGGATCTGACTGAAAGTCAAGCTCCATTTTGCCTTCATTATTTAGCCACAAATTGTAGATTATGATCCTACTCCCATGATCACCAATGTCATCCAACTGTTGTGGGAAAAGAATAGTTGGTTATAGATAAGGTATATCAACAGTTGGAACACAGGAAGAAGAATCAAATAGAGATAATGCATCTGGCAATTAAGGATGACTTTTGCCACAAAATTTAAAGGATCTCTCAGTTATTCATCAGAGATTCTCTGCTCACATGCCCTTGCGGTCCCAAACACCCTTCCTCATTTTAACTTGAGCTCTTTTGCTCACATGTCAAACTCCAACCTTATATATTCTCCATTAGCATTCAGACAGAAAATTTCCTTTTTCTAGAATGATAACAGTATCTAGTAACCTCGTCAGGACATAATACACACTATGTTTTATCTAATAAAGACAGGTCCAGCTGTCCAGGAAACTTTAACATGGTAACAAAATCAAACCCTCCAACACCTCAAGAGAAAAAGAAAAGAAAAAAAAAAAGCAAAACAGCTTATTTAATCTAAGACATCTGGTCAATGGTTCAGGTAAGTAGTTAAAAAGTTCATTCTGATGAGGTGCTTAGAGATGAAGAATAGTCCACTGATAGAATAGTTAAGTAACTAGCCCTAGGTAACTTTCAGATGTGAAGAGCTTAAAAAGACTGAAGATTCTGAGCATCCAACCACCAGGGCATCCTGAATTTTGAAGCAGCAAATGTAGAAGATTCCACAACACAACTTTTCATCAATAACAAGAAAGCATGTGTTTAGATGGCAGAAACTTCAACACTACAAAAAGCAAAAGCAGTTTCATTTGGGTTTACCTCCCACTCTTTGACTTTTAATTCTTTCATATGCCATGAGAAACGGCATCATCTTCTCAAAATCTTTTATTATATTCCCTCCGTTTCAATTTATGTGAACCTATCTCCTTTTTAGTCCATGCCAAAAAGAATGACCTCTCTCCATATTTGGAAACAATTTACCTTTATGCAATGATTTATAGCCACACAATATACATTTTATACCACAAGTTCAAAAGTCTTCTCTTTTTTCTTAAACTCCGTGCCTAGTCAAATGGGTTCACATAAATTGAAACGGAGGAAGTACTAATTAAGGGATGTCTAATTTATGCATTAGATGTTCTGCTACTCGCATGGCCTCACATTCCAGCCCACCGACCCCTCGCGCTTGAGCTCTCTCTTACATGTCAAACTCCACGCTTCCAAATTTCCCTTTAGCATTCAAAAAGAAAAGTTGGCCCTTTCCAGGATAATAACATTGACTATTAACCTTGTCAGGATATATTATACATAATGTTTTTTTTCTTTTATAATCGTGGTGTCCAGGCCAGCTTGCGCGCACCTCGACTAATTCCATGGTATACCTGCCACCTCCCACCAACAACAGGTACCAGGTAACTCTATCCGCCAAGACTTGGATAGATGGGAAGAAACACCTAGTGTTTTTTGCCTCCGATGGGATTTGAACCTTAGACCTCATGGTTCTACTTCTCACCCACTTCATTGACCACTAGGCCACACCCTTGGGTGCCATTATGCGTAATTTTTTATTTAATTAAGAAGAGACAAATTGATGCAGTTTTAAACTCACTTGCTTAAGAAGGGCTTCCTCCGTTGAAAATGGAGACCACTGCAACAACAATGAGAGGTTATTCACAAAATGCTGTTCAGGGCGGATTGAATTCCATTTGCCAGTTGTTGAAATGAACTCATATTCAACCTGTGTCATATGAACAAAAAAATTTAAATATTAAAAGAATTAAGGACAAGAGAGGAAGTGTCAGATGGTTAGAATCATTTGCCTCTTGAACTATGATAAATAACAATTTCTCTCCCTATACTATATTGGCTGGCAATTGACTAGCCACTAAAATTTCTTCAACTTCCAACATTCTAAAATCATTTTCCACCTCAATTTTCATCAAGGCTCAAATTACCCATAACAAATTCTGATTTCATCCCATTTGGTTCTAATATTAGTCAATGTAGTTGTTCAGACTCTTATTTTAAATGCATAAACAAAGACATAAATAAAACTGAGAGCAAAGGAGATACGTCTGAGACTCAATGCAAGAGAATATGAAGGGGAATTAGTATTAACATGAAATAACAAATTGATAAACAAATGGAAAGTATAAAAACATTTATAACTTCTGGCTGGAAATTTATAGTTAGACCAATAAAAGCTTACAAATAACCATGTCATATACACTTTCAACAAGTTTTAAGTTTACAGTTAAAGTTTTTACATCAGTATATAATAGGAAACATCAAATTAAAAAATCAATAAAATAAAGATAAAAATATAGATAAAGTTAAAAAGGAAAAGCTTCCTATTGACCCCCATCAACACCAATTCCATCACCCTCTTTAACATTTCATCACTTCTTTCTAGCAATTAATATAAGAAAGCTGCAAAACTCCAAAGCCCAAACAGTATTCTTGGATTTTAGTTGCATGTAAACAAATTGTTTTATCTTGAAAATGCAAATTGCATGTAAATAAAATAATACATGAAATAGAATTAAAGTAGGAAGCAAATGAATTACCTGTTTAAACCTAGTTATTTCAGTTAATCTTCGCTTCTTTCAAAATTTTCTAAACATCGTCATATTTGTACTACATAAAAATTCGTCACCTAGTGTAGTTTTACAAAATTATAAGTACAAGTTCTCATTTATAAATACAATAATCTCTTTTCATTATTTGTGACAATTATGATTTGATATTTAACAAGTTTTGGGAACTAAAATAAAGGTAAAGTAATTATAAGCGGTAAACTAGCCTTTTCTAACTCTTTTTATAAGTTCCTTCTAAACTTTTTTATTTGCTGGCCAGGAAATAATATCTGTTTATTTGTAACATTTTACAAACAGATATAACGGAAATTATAATTAAAAGAAGGTAAATATTACATAGAAATTAAAGAAATTTCAATAAAATATAAAACAAGTGGAAATGTGTATAGAACTGCTTCATCTTAAAACACTAAATAGAATCAACAATTGACTAAGAACTAATCAGGATTGCTTCATCTGAAAAGACTAATCAGACTTCGGAAATATAGAGAGTAGAAATGTATATACTACCTTGAAAGAGCATAAGAACTTCAAAAGAAAGACAAGCAAAGAAGGAATCTACAATCAGAAGCAACCAGAGCAAGTGATGGAGGATGATTCGTGTTTGCTTTGTCATTGCAAATTGATCATTTTCTCCTTTACCCGGTAGATGACGAAGAGAAAGAATAAAAATTGGGGCTAAGAAATTTCTTGACTATAAACTTTTTTAACTTTTTAGAATTTAATAACAAGCTGACTTTGTGCTTTTTGATATTAGATTAAGGACTAGTTTAGCAATTTTAATTCTAATCTGAGAGGCATCCTAGGGTTACGCCCCAAAACAAAAACTTACCCAACGCCTCAGCGTATGCCCAGAACAATGGGGCTTATGCCTCGCGATACTTTTGCCCCCAGGATCGCCCTGCTGTGTTTTTACTATGTCCCGACACAGGATTCGCCCCGGGACCCACCCCAAAAACGCCTTTTAAAACACCGTAACCAATACAACTGCTTGTATATTACAGTAAATGCTTAGAGAGGCAAATGAAAAGGCTCACCATAGGAACCACTATTCTGTCAAGGCCTTCCCCTGTCAAAAATGTATAGGAGAGAAGACCGATGCTTTGTGTCCATTGCCTGCTCAGAATAGAAGTGTAGAGAGATCAAAGGATTAATGACCAACTACAGTAAGGAAGTTGCCAGAACCAAAAGAAAAATGCTTCTTTCATTCACCATAAGAATAATTATTTGATAAGAATGGACATTGGGCCTAACTCAACCCCAAAAGCCAGCTTGTGAGGTGAGGATTGCCCAAGCCATATAAGGAGACCAAGGACCTCAAATCCCTCTGATGTGGGACAACTCAACACCCCCCCTCACGCCCAGGCCTCTGGAGCGTGGACAACATAAATGGGGGCCCAGCATCCGTAACAATAATTGGGATGGGCCTGGCTCTGATACCATGATAAGAATGGGCATTGGGCCTAACTCAACCCCAAAAGCTAGCTTATGAGGTGAGGATTGTCCAAGCCATATAAGGAGACCAAGGACCCTAAATCCCTCCGATGTGGGACAACTCAACATTATTTATAGTATCTTCTTTAAACTGACCATTCAGGAAATAGAAAAGAAAACAAGACATTGGAGTTGCAGAGGTGAAACAGCCTAGAGTAGAGTAGGGTAGTATCCCCTAGCCCTTCAAGAGAAAAGAAGAAAGAGAGATCCTCTCTGCTTTTTACATGCTACTGGTCCCAAGAAGAGATCCATCCCAAAGTGAACATTCATCCTGCTTAATAAGGACATTTCTTTCCGATGTTGAATTATCCTAAACTCTTCCCCTCTTCTACTCCATAAATTGCAGACACAAAAGAAGGTAATTGTCTTTTTTACAACTAGCAGGTGGCCCATATAATATTCCCATTTAACATTAATTAAACAAGATACATTTTTTAATTCTTACCTTGAAGCATCCTAAGTGGAACAAGAACATCATAAAGTAACCAAGTCAAAAAGAACATTTAACTTGGAATACAAGAACAGTTACCTAAGATAGTTCTAACAAACGGAAATATTGTGTCAGGGTAGGAAGGAAGAATAGAAGAAACAATAATCGGGCACTATTCCATATGACAAATTCTAATTGATGGAGGAAGAACTTTAAGGCAGAATGAGGCCTTATTAAATATTCCCCTCAAAAGACAGTGTCATGTAAACCTAAAGTGAGAAACAATACCTTTAATTCCTAAAACTTATGACCAGGTCCAATTTGGTCTTCAAGTTAATTTGGTAAAAGAGTTGGTCCTGAAATTCTTAAATTAAATGTATTTAAAAGTGAAAAAGCGCAAAAAGGTGACGATGCTCATCGGGCATGAGTGAAAAGCAAGAACTGACGCACATGCTTTGTCAAAGTGAAACGCATAATTTACAAAATAAAAAAATATCAAGCATAGTTGTTTTTAGAACTTAAATAATCAAATTGCAATAAAGATTGATAATTTAAGCATCCAATATACAACTCAGATATTAAGCCAACCCCTTAAACTTGAGATTTAAAGAATGGATCGCTCCTCGTTGGGATCACGTTGCACATCCTTATTTGAAGTGCACACTTCTCTGAGGCGCACGGGTTCACCCATGAAGTGATAACCCCTCACTTCGCATTGCTTCATCACCTTAAGCAACGAAAAGATGGCTTTTAATAACACTGCTTAAATCAGCAACAGATCCAACCAAACAAACAAATAGTTGAAAGCTAAATAGTACCCCCTAAGTTCAACTGCTTTAAGCAACGAAAAGATGACTATTAATAACACTGCTTAAATCAGCAACAGATCCAACCAAACAAACAAGTATCTGAAAGCTAAAGAGTAACCCCTACGTTCAACTGCTTCAAGGTATATAGGTCGGAAGCTTTATGTTTGGGATAAGTTTAAAATAGTCCATTATTGTACTCCTGAGTGGTTTTGGTCCTTTGAGTTCACTAAAAATGAGCAATTTCGGTCGCTGCCAAATATTTAAAAAATTCTGCAAGTTAGATTTAAGGAGAATAGTGGAAAGAAACAATTTTTCAGCCGGAAACATCAAGAAAATCCCGTCAAATCCCAGAAACTGCAACACCAAAAAATGCACAAGACACCAGAAATAGATTTTTTTTAAAATAGCAGCAATTGCACCCCCAATTTTGAGTTTCTGTTCAATTTTTTTTTTCACAAATTCGTTAAATCTGACAATTAGAGTTTGTTAAATATTTGACAGAGACCAAAAATGCTTACTTTTGGCTAACTTAAAGGACCAAAACCGCTCAGGGTGTATTTAAGGGGCTTTTAGACCTACCGCAAAACATAAAGGACCCCATTTTGACTGCTACATAGTGTAAAATTCTCCCAGGATGAAAGAAGGAAAATGGTAAACAGCACGTGCAATTATAATCCACTGGTATCAAACCTGTTCTTCATACAGCGGCTGAATACAATAACGTCAGCCCCGAGTCTCATCGAACTTGTCTTGAAACCATTTCCGTCTGAAAGGAGATACATTACTTAAATAAAAAACGAGAGAACGGGAAAGGAAAAACGAATACTTAATCTCCATACACTGTCCAATGGCTGCTTCGGACTTCTTATCGGAAAATCCAAAACTCAGACAGCAACGCATGGCTTCGGGGTCCATTCCACCACCATTATCTAGTAGAATAATAGAAACTGTCAGTCTCATATTAACAGTTGTACAACCAGAAGAACAACAAACTTCAATATCAGAAGAACAAAAAAACCCAGAAAGAAATGGATACCTTGAATTAATAAAGCTGAACTTCCATCCTTCGGGTTTAATAGTTTATCTACAATGACGAAGGTGGCCCCATTTTGTATCTGCCAAACAAATGAAACATGGAATGCAAAAAGAGAAAAGTAAGCACACTCAACTGCATGAGATGGATGAGTAACAGCTTTATCACATACATGATTGATTATATGCCCTGAGATTGTCATCTATATGTGAAAAGATAAAAAAGAGAAACCTCTTACTGAATTGAGAGGTGAACAACATATTATAGAGTTTTCGTATAGGAGTTTAGCTTATATCAAATAAGGGAAGTTTCCTACTAATTGCTTTTGTGAGAATGCACGGGGAAAAATCTATTTATTAACAATGATACAATGAGCCCTATATATAATACATATTTTACTTCTACTACATACAGGACTAGGACATATTCTACTCCTACTACATATGGGACTAGGACATACTATATTCCTACTACATATGGGACTAGGACTATTTACACATAACTATCTAACACTCCCTCTCAAGCCGGTGCATACAAATCATATGTACCGAGCTTGTTACATATGTAACTAATACGAGGACCAGTGAGGGACTTGGTGAAAATATTTGCAAACTGATCATTCGACATACAAGACCACTAGACTCCTCCTGAGCAACAGAACCAGGTGGTTGCTGATAAACAAGAGTTGGCTGAAAGGTCGCCGGAAAAATCTTAAAATAGTGAGACTAAGCCGAATTCCAAACTACAAAATGGGTTTTAAAGCACCACCAGAAAACATAAACTTTTTCTAAAAATTACTGTTCACGCCGTAAAAAATAAAAGTTGTCAGAATTTGATGTAATTTATATGGGGTAGGATCGGAATCACTGGACAAGTAAGTTGTCCTAAAGAAGTTTTGTCAAAAAGTGGCCGGAATGGCTCACACCCGCCGGGAAAGTTACTGTAGCTCGCCGGGACCCTAGTTCTGGCAGCGCGTGAGGAACTTTCTGCCAGAGTGATTGACTGGGATTTTGTTGCCTGACTTTTCCGAAAAAGATGGTAGTGTTGGTTTTCGCACAACAGTTACCTCTAATTAGCGAGTTCAGTTGCTTGCTAGGCGGTAGAGTCACTAGACTGACGACTGAGTGCCCTCTCTATCGCCTTGATTGTCGGTATAGTCCTCTTCTTTGTATCGGGGATTCAAAAGTCCTTGATTGAGGAAATTATAACTTTCGAGGATCCTCGCGTGATTATGAATGTTATATGTCCCCAGCTTAATAGAAAAATTGTTAAATCCCTCCTAATGTCGTTGATCTATGGAAAGACAGCATTAACCATGGCGGACGATCTCCAGCTCTCAAACTATATGATCCTTGTCACCAGTCAGCTAATACTGATAGTTGTCCTCCTACGGACCTTTGCCTTCCCTCCATTTCCACAATAAGAAGAAAAAGGAGTTGAATCAGAAATATCGAATGAAAGGTTCTTTCCAAGACCGTCTTCTATTGAATCAGCATCTGTTGCCGGGCGAGATTATATCTGATGAGGAGATAACGCAAATCAATCTTGATTTGTCAACCGGAAAGACGCACAGTGATTGACTTTTCTGTTCCGATGGGACTGAAATTTCTGGGGTTTGGTCGCACAAGGGATTCAGATCTGATGGTGGTACTGATATATGCACAATACCACTTAGCAGTGATGAACCCTGGGAATAAGACGAAGTTGCCGGAAAATTGCACGGCAATGAGATCTTTCTTCCCGGATGTCACTAGAATGACGCAAAACAATAATTTTCTCACTGAAGCTCTGATACCATGTGAGAATGCACGGGAGAAAAATCTATTTATTATTTATTAACAATAATACAATGAGCCCTATATATAATACATATTCTACTCCTACTACATATAGGACTAGGACATATTCTACTCCTACTACATATGGGACTAGGACATACTCTACTCCTATTACATATGGGGACTGGGATTATTTACACATAACTATCTAACAGCTTTGGTTAAGAAAATACATCTTGGTCTAACTCAACCTCCAAAACAAGCTCATGCAATAAGGATTACACAAGACTAGTGTTTCTTAAAGCAAAAAGCGCAAAAAACCATAGGGCTTGAAACGAAATGTGAGGCGCATAATATACGGAAAATTGGAAATACCCAACATAGAGTTTACCACTATAATATCCAAATTGTAACTAAAGTCACTAATTCAGCATTAAATATATAATAACAGTATTCCTTATCAAACTACTCCCTCCGTTCCAATTTATGTGAACCTGTTTGACTGGGCACGGAGTTTAAGAAAAAATGAAGACTTTTGGAATTTGTGGTCCTAAACAAGTCAAAAAGAGGCCCAGAGTATTTTTGTGGTTATAAAAGCTTCTCATTAAGGGTAGAATTGTAAGTTTAAGATAAATTGTTACCAAATTTAGAAAAGGGTCATTCTTTTTGGAACGGACCAAAAAGGAATATGTTCACATAAATTGGAACAGAGGGAGTAATAATAATACCAATATTGGTACAACTCTTCACTGTTGAGATTTAAAGTACCGATTGCTTTGTGCGTCATTATTTGAAGTGCACACTTCTCTGAAGCAGTAACCCCTTGCTTCATATCGATTTATCGTTTTAAGCGACAAAGAGATGACTTCAAATCAATCCACATTTTTGAAAGCTTACATTTCCACTCATGTCAATTCTTAGAATGTCCCACATGGTTAAGCGAATGGATTGTTGTCGCTTTATACAATTTTGCGTAGTTTCTCAATTTATGAGCTAGCTTTTGGAGTTGAGTTAGACTATAGATTCATCTTTTTTTACATGGTATCAGAGCTAGACTCGTCTCTATTCTTAGTTCACCCAATGTTGGGACCCCATATTATACTGTCCACGCTCCAAAAGTCTAGACATGGGCGTGCGGTTGGACTGTTAGATTGTCCCACATCAGTTGAGAGAATAGGCTATTATCTCCTAATATCTGTTGGATAATCTTCACATCATGAGCTAACTTTTGGGGTTCAATTAGGCCCAATGTCCATTTTCTCTAGATCAACAAACTTTTAACTCAGGACAAATGGAGTGACAATATAGTTTAAATATAGATGTTTCCCTCCGTCACTTACTTCAGAGGTTTTCCAATTTAAAAAATAGGTCAAAGACATCATAATTAGGAATTCTAGACAAAAATGGGGTTAAGTAGTGAAGAGCATGAAGAGAACAACAAGTGTAGCCACCATATACCAAATATGTTAGCAATTTTCCCCAGCGCAGCAGAAAATAGGAAGCAACTTCTATCATTTCCTGACCAAAAACGAAATAGAACATAGAAAAGCTTAGAAACTTGAGCAGCAATTTACCTCATCAACAGCGTTGTCAACCAGTTCAGCTATGGCTACAAAACAGAACACAAGGAAAGCAAGTGAAGTCAGCAATTATTCAACCCTTGTAAGCTGAGGCACTGACAAGAACACATACCCCCAAATGCCCACTTATGTGAAGTGGCATTCGAGTGAAGGAACTTGGGGTGTATACGCAGGAAACTGGCCCCATCTGCCAAAAGAGACCACAAGTCAGATAACAGTAGATGGAGATATAAGCGTATACGTGACCAGGAATCTGCTGGTGAGTTGACATGAAGCCTCACATACATGTTTTAACTGGAAGGAAAAAGGAAGATAATAGGTGAAGGTACCACTTCAAATAGTTTAAAGCATGGGCAATCACTGTCTAACTCATCATGAACAGAATCCTTAAAGTCACCAAAGCATGTGTATTTGGACAAAGACAGAGATCGAGTATTGAAAGAATAATACTTTTAGGGGAAGACTTGGAAAAAAGCCCGTCATCGTAGTTCCCAGCTTTCCAAAACTGGCGGCAAAGAGGTGCTGGACATATTGGCGACATAGAGTATAGGCTTCAGGCATCAATTGGAGAGTGCTCTTTATCCAATATAGTGGGTCCACTATGTCCAGTACTTTCAGAGACTTGCCTTCACATCCACCCCTACAGGATCATTACTGAACAGGTCAATAATGTTTAACGAACTCGCCTTAAGGGTTGAAGAGGAATTAAATATATAAGAATAAGCATATTCCCCAAATAAAAGTCAGGTATACGGATTTTAAAGCAAGAAGGCCTAACCTAGTATAAGATAAAGACCAGGGTATAGTGAACAAAACTATCAGAAACAGTCAGAGACAAAAACAGATAAAGGAGTATGGGGATTCAAATTCAAAAGAGCATGTTACACAAAATTCTTTGCATGTTACACAAAATTCTATGCACCTGCATATACTATTCTTGTTCAGTAATTCCTGTAAGTTAAAACCTAAGTATACTAGACCAAGGGACTAGTCTGTGTATTTCCGGCTCCATGCCTCTTAACTCACCTGAATGCAGAAATTTAAGTCATGCATACAAAACCCCAACTTGTTTACTTTTTAGTAGGGTACAGAGAGACAACATGGAAGTTACAATTTGTACATCAAGAATTTCATACAGCTTTATGTTTGTCATTCATGAAATGAAGACTATTATGTCAACTTATAATGAGCATTATAAGGAATTAAAGCACGAAAAAACAACAATAACCAGTTATGCCAGCCAATGGAGGAGCCGTGGAGCCAAAATTCCTGACAAGGAGATTTAAAAATAAAAAAAATAAAAAAGCAGTAATAATATACCTAGAAATCTCCTTAATGATGAGGCATTCAACCATTTATATATATACAAAAAAAAAAGTGTTTCTCCCCTACTTGCACACTGTAATTTACGAATGAAGGGGATTCAATTGAACCCACTCCTTACCTTTAGCTGTGCCACTGCTGCCAGCCAGCAATTCAACAAGCATTAACACTAACTTTATTTACTTTCACAAAGTCCATCCAACATTAGCGAGATAAGCAAAAACTAGCTGCGAGGAAGTAAATATCTAGTCATAAAATCCAAACGGCAAATTATGGCCGACGATATATCTGATGTAAATCACAAAGAAAACTTTATCATTATCTTCTATTTATTATGTTATTTGTCTTTACCTTGCTGAAGAATAATCTATTACTCCTATTAGAGATAATCATACCTCCTCCTTTTTATTTTGTATAGCATTGTTTGACTAAGCAAATAGTTTATGAAAGAAATATTTTTGGCACATATCAAAAGTACCCTTATAAGTTGTGGTCTTAAATATGTTATGACATTTCTATGCTATAACAGCATGTCATTAGGAGTAAGATGAAAAGTTTGAAGTTAAAGAACTTTCAAATATACAAAAATGTCACTCCTTTAAAACAGACTAAAAAGGAAAGAGTGACATATAAATAAGACCTTCATATACTTTATTTGCAACATACTTAAATAACACCTTACGCGACCAATGCTTAAATTTACCTCTACCTTCTTTTTTTGTTCCCATTTTGGTAAACAACGCCCTACAAAATCCAAATCCTCTTCTTAAGTCAACAAGTTTTTGCACTTTCTTCCCTTCCTACCTTAGTGACTCGAACTATCAACCTCTTGATTGGATACAAAGCGCTCAAAGCAACCTCTCTTGGCCGGAAGTAGAGAACACTAAGGAAACCTCCCTTATTCTTCTCTCATTCTTTTACTCTTTCTTCTATCTTTCTTCTCCTTCTAGTACTTCACCAATATCATAACCATACAAATACATATGCATACAAAATTACAAATACATACCTAAATGTTAGCAACTATAGACCTTTGAAGGCACTACACTTCTTCTCCATCACCTCCCACTCATGAGGCTTTTTTGCTAAGCTCACAAAGCAACCTAATTTTTTTCATATAATGGTTGTGTCCAAATCAACTTATGCACTCCTGAACTAATCCATAAGATACCTACTGCTATTCCATAAGATACCTACTATCTTCCACCAACATAGGTACCGACAGGGGTGGATGCAGCCTTCAACCAACGGATTCATCTGACCCCAGTACTTTCCATATGCAGTATAAATTTATGGATAAAGATCTACAAAAATAACAATAAATAGTAGATATGAACACATAACTTTAAAAATATAATGGATTCAACGTCAAAAATAATAAATGTTGAGTCCACATAGCTAAAATCATGGATTCGCCTCTGAGTACCAAGTAACTCTATCTAGCACCTCACATGGCAACCTACTTCTCAACTAAATGTGAACTTAAAGGAAATTTAACAGTGCAAAAAACTTTAATAGAACCAAACATGAAAAAAGGGAAACATCACATTTACCTTTTGGATAGCTTTCAAAGCCCAGCTCACCCCAAAAGAAAGGATTAGGCTAAAACTTAGCCCTAATCTAACAAGAATGGAGTGAAAAGGAAAACTTAAAGATAGGTGAAAGTTCAAGAGCAAATGGGCTTTATAAGACAGGTGGGCTTAACTCCAAGTATTAAAGTACAGTTATACCCTTACCTCAATTAACACTTCTACTCCAACTTAGGGCTAGTTTGGTAGGAGGGATATGGAATAATTAATCACGGGACTAAATCTATGCAATATTTTATGTTATAAAACTGCAGCATAATAAATCCAATTGTAGAAGGTGGAATAACTAATGCCGAGACTAATCTTGGATATAGGATAACTTCTTTCCAACTAAAGGACCCCTTAGTAATTAACATCAGCACCAAACTTGACTTTTCAAGTAGCATTCATCATAAAACCAACGAAGTGACTTTGCTTTCGGACTTTCGGACTTTGCTTCATTTCCCCAAATCCGCAATTCCCACAATTCAAAACATCCAATTTCTCATAGAATATATGCTTTGTAAGAAAACCAACGACGTGACTTGATTTCTAGGAGAAGTACCTAACGAGGAAGGGAAGTGGTAAATAGTTCCCACACACAGGTGTTTAGGCCAAATTATATTAATTTAATTAGATGAGAATGCATATAATTTAATTTAACATATTTAACATGGTTAAATGATTGAAGTCATGCAACACACATATATATCTATTGGTTTGTTGTAAATATTCAATGCGGCTAAGTTTAGTGAAGTTAGGAAATCAAATTACATTGTTTTAAATCCTTTCATATTATTCTGTTTGGCACGTCTATTATTTGAAAAGCTTTTTTGACCCTTTTTTGAAATATTTTTTGACATGCCAAATTATTAAATATATTAACTGATAATACTTTTTATATAGCTTTAAATATATAAATTTTACTATTATAATTTAAAGAATCTACAGCAAGACCTCTCTATAATAATATATTTTTGTATTACAAAATATCGTAACAAATGAGACTGTTGTAAAGAAATTTTACCGTATATCCCAATTTACACCTAAAATTAAATACTTAACTCTTGTACTTCGAAGTATGCCTAAACAAAAATGTAGTTCTATATTGAGTGGGTCTCAACAATTCATGTAAGGATTAAAATAGAATAATAGGATTTGATAGTTTTTGATAATAGGTGAATTTGACTATAATCACACCTTAAATAATCACCTTCTTGTGTAGTTTTAATGCTAAAAGTGATAACAAAATGCTCTTATTAGTGCTTTTCATGATTTGCAGGTGATATGTGTACAAGGAAGGCTACGGAGCAGTTTTGGAGTCAAAAATTGGAGAAAAGAGGCTAAATGTGTAAATTCCCAATGAAGCCACGCCCTGCCAGCCCTTAGAATTCAGAGAACTGGTTTGGCCGCGGTCGCGGCAGAACCGCGGTGGAAAGCAGCTGCAGAACTTCAGTGATTCCGCGAGGGTGATTGGCCGCGGTTCTACCGCGACCGCGGCAGAACCGCGGCAGGCGCAGAAAGTTCAGGGGTCAAAGTGTCAAATACGGAATTTTTAGACATAAACCCTATTTAAAACATTAGACTTTGCCCAAGAGAGGCATGTATTGATTTTTAAGGTTTCTTAACAAGGAAAACTATTGTGAGAGAATACTCTAAACATCTTTCTTCTTTTCTTTTGATTTTTATGATGAATTCAATCTTAGTTTCTTTTCCCATAGCCATGAGTAGCTAAATTCCTTGTCTAAGGTTTTGATGGAACCTATTGGGTGATGAACTTCTTGTTTATGTGAATACAAATTGCTAGTTTAATCTCTATTTGTTCAACTCCGTGTTTGTTGTAGTTAATTGACAGGATCCTCAATTAGTTGTGCCTATTTAGTGTGCATAACTTGGAAAAGAGTGCATATTTAGGGTATTGTTGAACAACACCACTCCTAGATTATTAGAGGAATCTATAATTGCGGGTTTAAAGGTGGGATTAGGGATAACGAAGCCTTGGGTGTAATCTAAAGTGAATCGTGTTAAATAAATTAAGCTAGTGTATCTCGGGAGAGTGCAATAGTAAATTACTGTGATTACTCGGGAGAGATTTGCGGTAAGATTAACGTTCATGATTGATAGAGATGTGTTGGTAAATTTGTATGAGCATAAACAGAAGGGATTCCATCAATAGGGGAAATCGTTGCCTTAGTTTTTCCTCATAATTGTTTACAACCTTATTAGTTCAATTTACAGCTATTTAGTTACTTGCAAGCTAGTTGTTAAAGAACACTCAACTGAGATTTGAATATTTGGGAAGCTGGTTCTGAAGAATTAGTGGGTCTGAAGATAGCGGTTGATAGGTTAACTCTTTGTGGATTCGACCCTGGGCGTAATACTCGGGTTATATTTGCAACGTCCGCAGAGTCCTTTTTATAAGGCATAGTTGGGCGTGATCAAATTTTGGTGCCGTTGCCGGGGAGTTAACGGAATTATCAATTGCCATTGACAGAAATACAAAGATTCTTATTGTAGTCAGTTTTCTCTCTACCAACTTTTTCATTGAAAATCTGACGGTTGTTGATCTGGGTGCACAGGTGTATGCCTAGAAATTCTACGAGGACTGGAGAACTACTTGAAGGACTTTCAGACCCCGAGAAAACATTCCGGGCATTGAATCGTGCTAACAAAAGACTTCAACAACCCCAACAAACACACAAATTCGAAATTGACGTGGGCGACATAAACGACCCCAACGTAAACGTCAGGAATGAGCAATTGGCACCTCCCGTGCCTAAGGGTGCACTATATGACTGGGCATAACCCACATCTGACAATCTGGCCACTGCCATTGTTGTGCCCGCTATACAAGCTGAATCGTTCCAGATCACAAATAACATGCTACACTTGTTGCAGAACAAGGGACTCTTTTCTGGGACACAAACAGAAGATCCTCAGCAGCACTTGAAGAACTTCCTGTCTATATGCAAAACTCAAAGGCAACCCAACGTAACTCCGGAAGCAATCAAGCTATTATTGTTTCCATTCTCGGTGACAGGAGCTGCTCAGATTTGGCTAAACTCGCTCCCCATAAACTCTATAGAAACTTGGGCTGAGTTGGTCAAGCAATTTCACAACAAGTTCCATCCGCCCAACAAAACTGCTCAACAAATTGATGAGATTGTGAGTTTCAAACAGAAACCAATGGAGACACTACACGAGACATGGGGCAGGTTTAAAGGAATGTTGGTTATGTGTCCCCACCATGCTGTTC